CTTACTACAAGCCAGGCAATAGTTAAGTATTTGGGTTACAAAGAAAGGCAAAAATAGTCCTTGCCTAAAGAAGCTCACAGCCTAATAGTAAGGTAACATGAAAACAATTATGTGCAAACAAGATATAGGCAGGATAAATTGAAAGTAATCAACAGAGAGAAGAGAGTAGAATTAAGGGAGATAAGGAAAGACTTCTTTCAGAAAGTAGGATTTTAGTTGGGATTTGAAGGAATCCAGGACACAGAGATAAGGAAGGAGAATGTTCCAGACATGAGGGACAGCCAGTGAAAATGCAGAGTCTGAAAAAAGAGAAATGAGAAGACATTCCCACACCCCAGTTCTTTGCAGAGGTGGGAGGTTCAATGGTATTGCACATTATACATACTTCAGACTTTTTCTATTTTTTGATCAGCTCTACTGATTTTTTTCTCTCCTTTTTCCCTTTTTTTGGTCTTAAATACTATTTGTTATATGCAGTAGCTCTATGAGAGGGGGAGAGAGAAGCATACTGGGGGAAACTATGGTGATATAAAAAAATACATTGATAAAAACTTATTTTTCAAAAAACACATAGTATCAAGGAAATGGAATATCTTGTACAAGGAACAGCAAGGAGGCCATTGGCATTAAATGGTAGGTAGTATGTGGAAGAAGATTAGAAAGTAAGGATGTATTATGAAGGGCTTTAAAACAGAGGGTATTATATCTGACCCCAAAGGTATAATCAAGAGCTAACTGGAGTTTATTGAATAGAGATATTACCTGATCAGACCTGCATTTTAGAAAGATAACTTTGATAGCTAAGTATAGGATGGACTGGAGTGGAGAGATTCAAGACAGGGAGACCATCCAGGATGCTACTCCAAAGGGGGTACGCATGCTTTCCCCTTCAATTTTTGACTGTTGAAATTCATCCCTTCTCTCAAGGTCCAACTTGTCTTCCAAGAAGCCTGACATGATTCCCTCCCTTCATCCCCAATAGAAATCATTTCTTACTCCCATGAACTCTCATTGAATGTTTTTTGGGCCTCTTCTCTGTATAAACCACACTTTTCTGTGTGCTATCATTATTTGTGTACATATTATTTCTTTGAAGGGAGTTCTTATTTTATCTGTAGAGTTAGGGTTCAATAAATGTTCTTGTATTAACTCTAAGTCTAAAACCAATCATTGCTGTATACTTAGTCAAGGCCTATGAACCACTTTGTAATAGATGGGTAGGACAGTCTTAAAACACAAACAGTACAATTACACACTAACTGGGGGACAATGAACTCAGTCACAAGGTGTCCCCATAGGTTCATGGATCTTTGACAGAAGTTCTGAAAAGGAAAAGGAGGGTCTTGGTAGATCTTGCCCTGGAAGTGGTTTCAAGTAAGACTAAAGAGAAAGTCAATGCAGTTGGGATTTTGTGCCTTGACTATTAGGTTGGAGAGAGAGGTCCTGCTGAAGAGGCATCATGGAGAAACAGACTGAAAATCTGGGACTCTCTTAATGTGAGCAACTAGGCACAGTGTAGAGAGTGCTGTGCCTGGAATAAGCAAGACCTGAGCTTACTTACTAGTTGTGTGACCCCAAGCAAATCATTTAACCTCAGTCTGCCTCAGTTTCCTTAACTGTAAAATGCACCTACCTCTCACGGTTGCTGTGAGGATCAAATGGGTTAATATTTGTAAAGCAGTTAGCACAGTGCCTGGCACATAGTAGGCACTATATAAATACTTATTCCCTCCATCCCTCTAACAGGTATTTTTTTCCTATGCATCTCAAACTTCTCCTTTTGTCCCTAACTGCTTATTTACTTTTCTTTCTTGAGGGGAGCAGGGAAATCAGGGAAGTTCTACTTTATTGATCCTCATTTAGTGAATGGGCAGGATGGCAGATCTCCTGTAGCTGAACTGAGAAAATGTAAACCTCTTCCCTGCTTGTAAGATGAACCTCCGGGTAGAGAGGATGCTGAATTACTAGTGAAATCATAATAAAAATATGAACTCACATTTATACAAAGTTTTATTCCTCACCTGAACATAGGGTCTGCAGTCAGAGAATGTTGGTTCATATCCTGCTTCTAAGGCTGACTACCTGTGTGACCCTGGCCAGGTTGCTTAACCTTGTTGGGCTTCAGTTTCCTCACGTGTAAGATGAGGGGTTTAGGCTCAATGGCCTTAGAGATCTATTCCAGATCTTTTTCCGTGCTCTTTTGATCTCACAATAACCCTCTTCATTCTGAGATAAAATCTCTCCCAGGGCAAGATCTACCCGGACCCTCCTCCTTCCCAGGATTTCTGTCAAACATCCTTGAACCTATAAGGACACCTTATGGCTTAGTTCATTATTTCCCGATCAGTGTGTAGGTGAACCATGCTTATGTTTAAAACTGTCCTACCCATCTGTTACAAAGGTAATCTAAAGCTTATTATAGCTGTTTCATAGATGAGGAACCCGAAGGCCATGAAAATTGTGACTTGGTTAAGGTTTCTTGTGGTTGAATCATTTTTCAAATGTGTCCAACTCTTCGTGACCCCATTTGGGATTTTCTTGGCAAAGATACTGGAACGATTTGCCATTTCCATCTCCAGCTCATTTTACAGATGAGGAAACTGAGGTAAACAGGGTTAAGTGACTTGCCCAGGGTCACACAGCTAGGAAATGTCTGAGGCCAGATTGGAACTCAGGAAGAACACAGGCCTGACACTCTATCCATTACACCACTTTAAGTTGGCTAAGTTTTCTTGCCTAATAAGTAAGTTTCAGAGCTAGGACTCAAATCCAGTTTGACTCCAGATAGAATGCTCCTTCCAAAACACTGTGCTGCTTCTTAGAAAGGAACCAAGATACCTGCTTCTCACTCCCTCTGTCCTTCCTCACCTGCTCCTGCCAAGATGTCTTCAAACTGCCCAAAGCCATATGCTACTTCACTGAGAGTCATTTCTTTTCTTTAAGTGATGGGGATTAAGAGGGTTTTGCTTTGTTTAAATCAAGGGACTTAAGGATGCCCTCAGAAGAAGCTAGACTTTCTACTTGCCCTGGTCATGGTTTTGCCAACATAAGCATCAACTTCCCAATGGTGGTTTCCTGCTGCCACCTTGTGGACGTGAGGATTGCTGTCTCCAAGCATAGACCAATTTGTCATCTCTCCAAGGCAGTCCCTCCAAGTCCAACGAATGCTTTGTGCGCTTTGTTCCTACCCATAGCCCTTTCTAACTCTAATGCAGGAGTCCTCGTACAAGGCACCCCCTACGTTCTAACAGTGATGAGATCCAGATTGTCATTGTTGCTTTCAGACTATGGCCAGATTCTTTCTGTCCAATCAGGCAAGTCTCATGAGCATTTGTAAAGCCAGCGTTTTATGCTTTTCTTCTGGTCACTGACCTCCTTCCTCTCCTCTTATTGTGAGGCTGCTGCTGTATGTTTGGTTTCAGACATGATCTCAGAAAAGGATTTGAATGCAATAACCTTGATCATTCACATCTGCTGTCTTCATCTAGCCCTAACCAAGCATCTGCTTTCGGAGAAATTCAGCTGGGATATTACCCCCCACCACCATCCTCCTCCCCCACCTTCCTTGCCCCGCTCCCCCCTACCCCCAGCATTAAACACCTGGGCATAGTTAAACAATTAAGTCCTAGTCTAGGAGCTTTGAGTGTGTGTGTGTGTGTGTGTGTGTGTGTGTGTGTGTGTGTGTGTGTGTGTGTGTGTGTGTGTGTGTGTTCTTGGGTATGTGCATTGGTAACAGGGATCAGTGTTGTTTTGGGGTGGTAGGGGCTTTATCAGGAGATCAATCAAATAGCATTTTAATGTTAATTGATGTATTTTATTGCTACAACACATTCATTCCTAAATAGATCTTTTTCTGGGGCAGCTAAGTGATGCAGTGGATTCAGGAGGACCTGAGTTCAAATGTGGCCTCAGACACTTGACACTTACTAGCTGTGTGACCCTGGGCAAGTCACTTAACCCATTGCCTAGCCAAAAAAAAAAAAGCTTATGGAAGTGAATGTTGAAAACTAAAAATAAATTAACTAAACATATCGTTTTTCTCTCCCCTACCCAGCCTCAGTCATGTAGCCCTTGCAACACAAATATTAAAACAACAAAAAAAAGAGTTTGGCAAAATCAGCAAGACGTTGATCATGCCTGATAGTGTAAACAATAATTCACACCTGTAGTCCAGGGGAGTATTCTTTCTAGACAACATAGTTCTTTTCTGGCACTTGCAAATCTTTATGTGGAGTTGGGGGGGGGGACATTAAACTAGGCAACAGGAGAGTGAGGTTCTTGATCTGAATCTGCTAACTAGCCCTGTGATCTTGAGAAAATCACCTAGTCTTTTTCAATCATGAGTTGACATCATAAATTTGTATAGCCCCTGACTCTGTTTTCCTTAACAGGCAGGGTAGTACAGTGGAAAGAACACCAAATCCCAGGTCTGCTGTTTTTGACATGTATGACCTTAGACAAGTTATTTAAACTCTTTGGAGAGGGAGGGAATAAGCATGCATACAGCACCTTCTAAGTGCCAGGCATTGTGTTAAGCACTTTATAAATATTATCTCATTTGATCCTCACAATAACCCTGCAAGGTGGGTGCTGTAATCCCCATTCTACAGGTGAGGAAACTGCAGCAGACAAGTGACTTGCTCAGCATTACACGGCTAATAAGTGTCTGAGGCTGGATTTGAACTCAGGTCATCGTGATTCCAGACCCAGTGCTTTATCCACCGCACTGTCTTTGAGTCTCAATCCCCTCATCTATAAAATATGAGGACCAGACTAGGCCTTTCAGGTCTTGTCTAGCTGTGAATCTATGATTTTTGTGGTAATGTCTTGCTGCATTGAGATCAGGATTAAATTTGGAGTTAAGAGAACCTGGGTTCAAACCCCAAGAGAAATAATCTTTCGTAGCATGTCAAGCATTATACACAGCAAGCGATAGGGATATTTTATAACAAGACAGTTTTTGAGGTCTTTTCCCATTATGTGTTAGGATGGCCCTATTTGTAAACATAAGTAAATTCAGGGTGTTCAGACTATGTGACTTCGAAAAGATCTGTGTGATAATTCTTAGGGACTTGCCTAACGTGCACAGAGGTTAGGGGACTTGCCCAGGATTTCACAGCTAGTAGGTATCAGAGGCAGGATTGGAACCCAGTTACTTCTCTGCTCCAAGTCAAGCACTCTGTCTTCTAACACATGTTGCCTCTACTGTTCAATGTAGTGGGTAAGGGAGGAAGGTGAGAAAGTCTAAATTTCTTTCACTGAAGCCAGGAAACTTGGCCTCTGTTATTTTTTCATGAATATGGAAATTGATGCTGCCACCAAAAAAAATCAAAGTGTCAGTCCCTGCCTTAGACAGAAAACAACCAGCTAATACTCATAGAAATGTATTATGGATCCACCATGGAATTCCCCATGAAAAGAAAAAAATGCCATTTTTTACATTTTAGCCAATTGAGAAATTTGACCAAAAAATTTCAGAACATTCTGATTTTCCTGATGCCCTTTGTTTTCCAAATAAAGCTTCTTCTCTGCCAGTTTTCTATCTTCTACTGGTCATAGCCAGGATACATATGATGTGGGAGGACTTGCCTTTTTTCCCCTTTACCTAGGAGCAGAGTTAAAGACAGAAAGAAAATTAAATGTCTCTCACATGTAACAATGCCACTAATATCTGCAGCCTTGCCTGCCTGCAGCCAAGATCCCCAGCTGGTGGCTGGCATGCCCACCTGGGTCTGAAGCTATGAGCCAGGTGGTTGAGAAGTCTGGTTTGTCAGGAATCAAACTAAAGCTGTGGTTGTTGGCCTTATATCCAGGAGTGGGGAACCTACGGCCTTGAGGCCATATGTGGCCTTCTAGGTCCTCAAGTGCAGCCCTTTGACTGAGTCCAAGTTTTACAGAACAAATCCTTTTATTAAGGGGATTTATTCTGTGAAGTTTGGATTCAGTCAAAGGGCTGCACTTGAGGACCTAGAGGGCCACACGTGGTCTGAAGACCACAGATTCCCCCTGATACTTGGTCGACAGGATCTTCCCAAAGAAAAGTCATAGATCTGAAAGGACAGAAGATTATCTGGTCCTCAGTCTGTTAAAGAAGCAACATAATGTGCAACAGTCAGGCAACAAACATTTAATAAGTACTTACCATATACTATGTTAAGCACTAAGGGATAGAAATACAAGCAAAAAGAAAGCACAGTACCTGCCCTCAAAGAGCTTACATTCTAAGAGTGAGAAACAACACAGAAATAAATGGAACTGAAAAGCTGTGAGGGGAATATACATGGGGAAATGATGATTAAGTCCAAAGAATGAAGAATATAGCCAGCCCTGGCCCCTCCCCAAAATGGAAACCCCAAGAGAAACTCACTGAAGAGAAAATGGGGCCACAGGTTTGGAAGGATGTTCCAGGGTGAGAAGGTCCCGGTATTAAGTGAAGTATGGTGGCAAAGTCTAAAGAGGCAGAAGTAGAATCAGGAGGGGAATGAAGTATGGACTGACCAGAGTCTCCTCTCCAAAATAAAGGCCCTGAGAAACACTCACCATTGGAAGAAGGTGGACTGAGGATCAGAGAGATGTTCTAGTGTGAGAAGTTTACCTGGAACCCAGGTAACAAGAGACAGGAGCTCCTAAAAGTGGAAAGGCCTGAGTAGAAAGAAATGGCTACAGTCAACTATTCTCTTTAAGCTATATGGAAAGTCTTTTTGGCTTTGTGACAGCTGCTTCCTTACAAACAGACTCAAAGTCTGGCCTGCTTCCAGCCCCCACCCCCCATCCCAGTAAATGCTACCCTAACTAATCTCAAACCTCTTTCCTTCAGAGGAATATTGAGTGTCCCAATTGTCAAAGACCAAGATAATCAATAGCTACTCTCCTGCCTTCACCAAGAGCTAAACAGAAAGATCAGAAGATCCTAAGGCTGAAGGGATTGTGAAAAAGCCATCTTGTCCAATCCCTTTCTCAGCATAGGAGACAGAGAAAATCTATCTTGTTTTGCAGAATATCCAGAGAAGGCAGTTGCATAACTTCCTTAAGAACCCATATTTTGATGCTCCACAATTTTCACCTTCAGGAATCTTTTCCTTTTGGGATCTCTTTCAGGAGGTGATCAGTGGATTCTTTCAATTTCTATTTTGCCCTCTGGTTCTAGAATATCAGGACAGTTTTTCTTGATAATTTCTTGAAAGATGATGTCTGGGCTCTTTTTTTTTTTTGATCATGGCTTTCAGGAATCTTTTCTTTGTAACTCATTTAAAACCTGTTTAGAAGCCATTTTTTCTTCTTTTCTTCCCATAGTAGAAATTTAGAATCGATGCTCACTATCCTACACACACTTGAAAACCATTCCATTCCTCCAAAGCTTCCTCTTTTTGGAACTAAACTGAACTTCTCTATTTGAATATAAACTTCTAAACTTCCTCCATTTGAATATAAGCCCCTGCAGGTGGTTACTGTCTTGCTTCCTTGTATTTGTATTTCCATAAGTGCTTACCATCTAGATATCATCTACATATCTATCTGAGCTGAAGAATATCACCTTCAACACCTACTAGTAGAGGGGCCCTGAGCAAGTCACTCAGTGCCCCAGTTTTGTTGTTGTTAATGAGTTGTTTTTCAGTGATATCCAACTCTTCATGACCCCTTTTGGGGGTTTTCTTGGCAAGGATACTGGATTGGTTTACCAGATGAGGAAACTGAAGCAGAGTTAAGTGACTTGTCCAGGGTCACACAACTAGTAAGTGTCAAGTGTCTGAGGCTGGATTTGAACTCAGGTCCTCCTGACTTCAGGGCCCGTGCTCTATCCACTGTGCCACCTAGCTGCCCCTTACAGGCAAGTTCTAAAAGCTTTCTGAAATTCCATCTTCACCCATCTTCTCACCTGGTTTCCACTGGAAGACCCTCCCTAGATAAAATAGGAACCAGATAAGATACTTCTCAAGAGTTTGTGCTGGGGGGCAGCTAGATAGCACAGTGGATAGAGGTCGGGCCTTGAAGTCAGGAAGACATGATTTCAAATCCAGTCTCAGACACATGACACTTACTAGCTGTGTGACCCTGGGGCAAGTCACTTAACCCCAATTGCCTCACCAAAAAAAAAAAAGGAAAAAAAAGAGTTTGTGCTAGGGGGACAGCTAGGTGGTGCAGTGGATAGATCACCAGCCCTGAAGTCAGGAGGACCTGAGTTCAAATCTGGCCTCAGACCAAACACTTGACACTTACTAGCTGTGTGACCTCAGGCAAGTCACTTAACCCCAATTGCCTTAAAAATATTTTTTTAAGAATTTGTCCTAGTAAATAGAACTCTCAAGAGCTATCCTAGTAAGAGTACCACCTTTTCTCCTCCTCAGAGGGTTTTAGAAGGCAGTGATGAGTTTGGGTTTGGCAGTCCCTGGGAAACTATGCAAGTATCCCAGATTCCAACACCTCCCAAGAAAAACTCTTCTCTGAAATGAACGTTTTGGTCAAAGAGCTCCATTCTCAGAGGCTGGTGTATGGGAAGAAACAGGATGTCCAGGGAAAGGAAGGAGAGACGAAACAAAGCTGCAAAGAAAGAGAAGGCAAGCTCCAGACATCACCTTCAGTTCTGTCAAGTTTTGATCCATTGGTCTTCTAATGACATTTTCACCAGTGAGCTTAAATACTGATTTAAAAAAAAAAAGGCAGATGGGCATCATTATTACCAGGGTAGAACTCAGATTTCTACATTTCTATTAGGAAAAGTTCCTTTTCTCAAGAGGAAAGAGGTTTTACCAAGGCCATAAATAGAATCTTCTCCCTACCCTTCTACCCACCCACACATCTCAGAGTCTACTGGCCTCCCCCAGTAATTGACTCAATTTTTTCTGTTGACTGGATCAAAGTATATTGTAAGTTACAGCATTCACTGCTGTATTATAAGAGCAGTGATCATTGTGAGTGTTCCTTCTGCTAAATGGAAACCATGACCAGGAGCCAAGTGCTCATGCATCCAGTCAGACAACATGCCTGTTTGTGGAGGACAGGTTGTCAGTGTCTATACCTGCCAGCTTGTTGATTTTGATGAATTTAGTGCAAAGTCCAGGACATTCACTTTCACAGAAATCTTGGTTTGTTGCTTTATAACCAGCAATAAGGATACTGGCAATGCTTTAAAGTTACAAATTACAGAGCAGGTGCTGATCTGTCTTGGTAGAAGGACCTTCCTTATAAGAACTTCCCTGGATGAGTGAAATGACAAATCCAGTTTTTAAAAAATATTTCCCATGGGGCAGCTAGGTGGTGCAGTGGATAGAGCACTGCCTCTGGAGTCAAGAGACCCGAGTTCAAATATGACCTCAGACACTTAACAGCTGTGTGACCCTGGGCAAGTCACTAACCCCATTGCCTAGCCCCCCAAAAAAATTTCCTAGAGTTTCCTGAGCCATTTCTACATTTTCTCCAGTTTCATCCATGTTTGAGAAAGGGTCTGGTTTGTTGTTTTTTAATCTCTACCAGGAATAATCGTAGATAGAAGGGTAGGGACAAGTCATTGCTTTATGACCCTCTACCGCACACATCCATCTGGATTAAATTCTGACCAATGAGATCCTCTTGGTTTTCCTAATGGAGGAGATAAGATGAAGTTCCACCTAAGGGCATCTCAGGGAAGGGAAGCTGGGAATGGGGAGTTAGGAGAAGGGCAGGTGTGGTGGGGAGAGAGAGACAGGTAAATGATTAGAGAAAAATAGTAGGATAAGGGGAAATGAGAAAAAGATAAAGAATAGGGAATGAAAGCACAATAAAATGTGGCAAACATTCTCAACCCAGTCTTCAAAATCACCATTCTATTGTATCTTCTCTACTTACCCTTTCCTGAACTGTCTCCTAAGGCAGCCTTAACACCAATTACAGTGAGGTGATGCAGTGGATAGAACTCTGGACCTGGAGTTGGAATTACCTGAGTTCAAATCTGGCCTCAGACACTTAGTAGTTGTGCGATCATGGCCAAGTCACTCAACCACCATCTGCCTCAGTTTCTTCAACTGTAAAATGTGGATAATAATAGCACCTACCTCCCAGAGTTGTTGTGAGAATCAAGTAAGATGTTTGTAAAGTGTTCAGCACAATGCCTGGAACTTAATAAAAGCTTGTTTCCATCCAGCTAAGCTTTCCTTAGCTACACATGGGTGAAGGCATGTAACTGACTCAATCCAACCCCTGTGTTCCCTGATTCTTTTCCTTGCCCTTAAAGGCACCACTCTACCTTTCCTCCAGGGAGGAAATCTAGGTCACTCTAGGTGCCTTTTCTCACCCCATTTAACTATCAGTTGGTGTACTCAATCTCCTGGGAAAGTAAAGAACAGAGGTTAAGACTGAGGGCTTAAAGTCTACCTTTTTGGTGGGATAGTATAAGCAGACAGGGGATGGTCCTAGTGAAAGGTCAGGTCTAAGTGTCTCTTCTGCTCAGTCAGTCAACAAGCATTAATTAGATGGTCCCAGGCACCGTGCCAGATACAGGTGTTAGGGATACAAAGACAAAAATGACATATGCCCTGTCCTCAAAGAGCTTACAGTCTTTCCAGGGAGACAACATTTAAGCATATTCAAAATATGTATAAAGTAAATACAAGGGAATATTTTGGTGATGCACTAGCTCTTGAGTTATCAGGAAAGATCTTGTGTAACAAGTTGTATGAGAGCTGAAATCTGAAGGAAATTAGGGATTCTAAGAAGCAGAGATAAGGAGAAAGTGCATTGCAAGAGTGGAGGGCTGCCTGGGCAAAGGCGTGGAGATGGAAGATGACATGTCATGTGTGGATAATAGCAAGAATACTATTGTGGCTAGCCAGCAGAATACATGAAGGAAAGTAACATATAATAAACTTGGTGGGGGAATGGAGGTAGCTACCCATCCTATTCATTTTTTGGTCTCCTACCAACGACTGCCACTTAAAATGAGAATTAGGGGCAGCTAGGTGGTGAAGTGGATAGAGCTCCAGCCTTGGAGTCAGGAAGACCTGAGTTCAAATCTGGCCTCAGACACTTGACACTTACTAGCTGTGTGACCCTGGACAAGTCACTTAACTCCGATTGCCTCACCAAAAAAAGCAAAAAATAAAAAATAAAATAAAATGAGAGAATGAGCTCACATGTATTTCTTCCTAGCTTCCAAGAAGAATGCAAAATGTGCCATGCCAGGCTCTGCAGCCCCTGCACAGGGAACTGTGGGCTAGGAACTGGGTAATATCCCAAGAATTCAAAGACCGTGTCAGTAAATAATACCCTTTGAAACTGATGATAACAAGAATCCACATAACATGAATGAAATTATCCTGATGTAGCTGTGACCCACCCTTAGAGGTAATGTGAAGTATGTTGCTGTGTGTACCTCAGCAAGTGTTAGGGTCCCCTTTCTGTGATGCTGACAAACCCTTAAGAGGAAGAAAGGACTGAGAAGATGTTGTCAAAACTCTCCTTTCACTGATCTCATGACCACCAAATCCTTCTGATATTCTCTGTATCCAGGGATACTCTGGAGCAAACTCATACCAGTGAGCTGATTGTTAAATTTTCAATATGAGCATTTATACCCTAGAAATTGGTGAATGCTACATACAAATCAGGGCTTGACTTACAGTTGTGTTGATTTCCAGACTTAAGAAAGCGATGAGAGAAATGCAAAGGAAACTTAAAAGTGTATAATGGGTACA